GCTAAGCGCCTCTGGGTCAACCCCTGGTACAAAACAAACCAAAAGCAAAAAAACTACCAAGAACTGCATGTACACAAGTTTGACATCTTAGAGGAAACAGACAGATTTCTGGGAAGACACATGCGGCCAAGACCCACTCAAGAAGAAGTGGAGAGCCAGAAGAGTCCTACACAAGGTCCTCCAAGGAATAGGAATGAGCTATATCCTCGGGCCACCTGCTTTCCGTGGTGAACGCTACCAAACGCTGAAAAATAAACAGCATCAAAACCTGGGTCTGTCCCAGAAGACAGCGGGGGACACTTCCAGCTCCTTTCTGAGGTCAGCATCATCCTGACGCCAACATTAGGTAAGGACAGTTCAAGGAAGCACGGAGCCGATCCCCTGAACACCACACCAGCAGACCAGGTCCAGCAGCTACCGGGGGCTCGTCCTGGGGGCAAGGGAGTGGAACAGAGAAAACAATCAATGAAAACAAGCTTGAGGCTCCGAGGATTGATGAGGACAGCGCACCTGACACAGCATCTCCTCAGCCAGCAGGAACAGCGTGACTCCCTCCACCTGATCAAGAGAATCGATAAACACACGCACCTGCACACACGCACACACACACACATACCCATGCACACACGCACACACGCACGCACATACATACACACGCACATGCACATGCACACACACACACACACTCAGACACGCACATGCACACACGCACTCACACACACACACCAACTACAGCTAACGTCATACTTAATGGTGAAAGATTGATGTTTTCCCCTTAAGATCAAGAACTAGGCAAAGATGCCCATAGTCCCCATTCCCAGTCAACTCCACGCTGCGAGTCCTAAAACCTGCCCCAGTAAAGAAAAACAAATGTCAGCGAGACAGGTGACTTGACTGTCTACGTAGAAAATCCATGGAAATCTACAAAAAGAAAAAAAAAAGATTCTGGATTAATAGTGAGTTTAGCAAAGTTGCAAGATAAAACACCTATGTGCAGGCTGGGGCTCGGCGGTGAGCGCTCGCCTCGCCCGCGTGAGACCTGGGTGGGATCCTCAGCACCAGAAAAATTAAAAAATAAAATAAAGGTATTGTGTCCATCTACAACTAAAAAAATAAATAGTTTTAAAAGATCCATATGTAAAAATCAATCATATTTCTATACAATAGTAGTGAACAACTGGAAACCCAAAATTGAAAACAATTCAATAGATCCCCAAAGTAAAGTCCCTCTGTACAAATGGGGTGAAAGAAGGACGAGTCTGAATGTGAGAGAACAAGACTTGCCGAGAGAACCGGAGGAGCGCCCCCATGGAAGAGCGTCCATGTTCATGGGCTGAGGACGTGGTGCAGCCCGACACCGATTCTCTTGAGAACATCGACAGATCTGAAGCCGTCCCAGCCATGATCCCAGTAGGTTCTGTGCACATGTAGACAAGGGATTCCGAAATGTCTGTGGAGAGTTAAAGGAACTAGGATACCACACACACGCACGCACGCGTGAACAAGAACAAAGTTGGAGCGATGCACTTCCCTATTTTAAGAGTAGTGAGTGCTCTCCAGAGAAAGAGAGCCGACAGGGTAGATGGGTGGGTGACTGCCTGCCGGGTGTAGGTGACAGACCATGGATGATGGACACGGCTCACACAGTCGCGGAGGCCGAGTCCCGAGCACGGCGGAGCCATGGTGAGACCCGGGAGCGCTAATGGGCCGATCCGTGCAGTCGGGAGGCCTGAGACCCAGGAGAAGCTCGGAAGTGGGCCCGTCGGGAGGTCAGGGGTCCCCCGGGCCCGGGAAAGCCCACGCTGCAGTCTGTCTGAAGGCAGAGGAACCCCGCTCCCCGCCTTTGTGCATTCAGGCTTCAGCTGGCTGAGTGAGGCCCAAGGGCCGTCTCCTTCGCTCAGTGCACGCCCCACAGACACACCCAGGGTGTGGGGTGACGTCTGCCCAGCATCTGGGCACCTCGCGGCCCGTCAGGTGGACGCATCGCGCCTGTGGAACCTCAGTGATCACATCAGACTGTGGAGCCCAGCCTGGAAGGAGGCTGCGGCTGGTGAAGAGGTGTGGCCAGGGCCCAGAGGCTCACGGCCAAAGAACAGCAGAGAAACCTCCACCTCCACCTCCACCGGCCCCAAAGGCTAACTCCGCAAGGTGACCCAGCCCAGTTTAAAACAGGAGAAGGCTGGGGGGGCTCAGCGGTGGGCGCTCACCTACACGGGCCAGGCCTGGGTTCCATCCTCAGCACCGAATAGAAATAAACGAAAGACATCGTGCCGATTACCACTAAAAGTAAATACTAAAAACAATAATAATAAAAGAGGGAACAGAGAACTCTTGGGAGAAGGCATGAGAGACCATGGTTGGAAACCTGGATTTGGCAAAAAATACAGCCCCGAAAGCCTGAGATGAGAGGTGGCGCCCTGGCGAAGCTGGCCTCCGCCAAGTTAGGCGCCAACATGGGCCCAGCGGCCCCACCCCAGGAGCTCGTCCTGGGGAAGGGAAACCCACGTCCACCTCCAAGTGCACCCACCATCTTGGCACCCGTGCTCCTGATGGCCACAGGCTGGAAGCAATGAGCGGTCCCTCGGAGGGAGCAGGTAGAGGGTGGCGGTCCTCATGGACGGAGGCACGTCAGCCTCTGACCCGCCAGCCCTCTGTGACCCTGCGGGGACGCGGCTCAGCGGGGTCACTGCTTGTCTCCCTTGGGCAAGGCGCTGGGCTCCGCCTGCAGCTCAGAGGGGACAGGAGGAACTGCTTCTGGTGTCCTCCATGGGGAGGCCCCAGCCGAAGAGGACGAGGCCAAGCTCTTGAGCCACACTGTCACTCGGTGGGTGGCCCCACGTAGCGGGCATTCTCAGAAGGTGGCTGGCTCAGCGGCAGGGGCGTGCGAGGCCCTGGGCTCCGTCCCCAGCACCGAAACCACCGCAAAACCCTAGTGAGTCTTATCACCAGAAAGTACCCAGAGGACGGGACGCAGGCCCTGGAAGTCAGAAAATGGTGGCTGGTGGGGGGGGCACCTACCTGGGGCACTGGGGGCTGCGGGGAAGCGGACTGGGCCCCACGGTGGCCCCGCGGCCTGGGGCCAGGGCTAAGGTCACCTGCTCCTGTTGACACTCTCTGTTTGGCTTTGCTCTATTTTATTTCATTCATTTCATTTTATTTCTGGGGATCAAACCCAGGGCCTCCCTGGGGTCAAGTGCCCACTCCCCACTGCGCTCCACCCCCGCCCATTGTCCCGATTTAAAAACCATGTCTGTGCCCACATTGCTCCCTGCATTTCCAGATGAGCCCCGAGCACATGACAGGCCCGGCCCACCAGCACGTGGACAGGAAGCAGCTCTGCCGGCTGGGCAGCTGCAAGGAGGGCTATTTTAACCCCGGAAAGTTGAACAGAGGCGTCCCGGCTGGCCATCTGCCCCCGAGGACAGTGGGAGCCACAGAGGCACAGGGTCTCAAGTCCTGTCCACACTGCGGCCAGCAGGGGGGCCTCTGTGTCCCAGCTGCGGCTCAGCCCAGCCCGGGGCTCCGCTGGCCGGGCCTGGCCACTGCAGCCCACTCAGCTCTCTGCCTTCTTCACCTGCCCCAGAGGGGCCAAGTCACCGGGGCCTCCAGCCTTGGGGTGCATGGTCCTCACAGCCATCCGGCTGGGCGGGGTGGGCAGGGCAGGGCTGCTAACCCCGGTGACCTGGCAGGGGCCCCATCACACTTCCCATCTGCCATTCATTATGAATCAACAGCAAGGAAACCGCACCACATCCCTCTGTGCTGGGCCTCCCTGGGCGCGCGGCCCCTCGCAGCCTCTGCTAGCCCAGGGTGGGAGGGAGGGACTGTTGCTGACAGTGTCCCCTGGCCCTGGGCCCTGGGCATGACACTCACCCTCTCTGGGCCTTGCTACTGCCCCATCTGTGAAGGGTCCAGGGCCCCCACTTACATGAAGCGGGGGGGGATGTCTGAACCAAAACTTCCTAGGGCTCCTCAAAGGGGGTCTGACCCACACAGGGGGGATCTGTGGCTCGGAGAACCCCCTCCTGGGGTGACTCTAGAAAGCAGCCCCGTTTCCACCTGCCCCAGAACCCCACCCCCGTCCTACTTCTAGAGCGGGGGGTGGGGGTGGGGGGGCCAGGGAGGCCTTGAATTCTTGGTGGGCAGAACCCTGTGATCCCAGATTCCATCCCCAGTCCTCGCCTGCCCCAGGCCTGGCCCCTCCAGATCCGCGGGTCACTCCTGCACCTGTTTCTCCACCCCTCTTTAAACCCACACCCCCAGCCGCACCTCCCAGAACGGGCCGCCATTCCTCAGGCTCCCATGTGTTTGTGGAATTTATTTCGTTTTTATTTTTGCACTGGGATTGGACCTGGGGATGCTCCACCACTGGGCCACATCCCCAGACCTTGATCTTGTTTTTTCTGGAGACATGGTGTCACGAAGTTGCTGAGGTGGCCTCCAGCTTGAGCGCCTCAGCCCCTGGAGTTGCTGGAGTTCCAGGGGTGGCCACAGGCTGGCCAGGCCCCGGCATTTCTAAAACGTTTGGAAGTCTTGTCATCTGAAGGGACGCTGGGCAGGTTCCCCACGTGCCCTCGGTGCCCAGGGCCAGGCTCCGGCACCGCGGGCTGGTAAAGGTGTCGGGCTCGGGGTGAGCTCCCTGCGGTCCGCAGTCCCGGCTGGGTGTCCCCTGCCCGGTGCCTCGGGTTCCTCAGCTGTGGGACGTGGATGGCCGCTGGTGGCGCCTGGCCTGCCGTTGGGAAGTCCCCAGGAGCCGAGGGCAGAGGGGCCACTGGGCGGGGGGGCCCTGGGCAGCCCGAGGAGCCCGCCCCCCGCGGTGGGCGGCGGTTCCGGCGGCGGGGCCCGCGCCCCTGCGCCCGCGCGGCCGCCAACCTGTCGCGCCGCCCGGGCCTGTCGCGGGGGCGGGGACCGCGCCTCCGCCTCCCGGCCCCGCCCGCCGCCCGCCGCCCGCCGCCCGCTCCCAGCGCTGGCCTCGTGCGCCGGCCCCCCGCGGGCCGCAGGGACGTCCGTCGGGCCCCGCGACGAGCAGCCCGCCGTCCAGAGCGCGCCGCTGGGTGCCCTGCGCGGCGGCCGGGGCGATGCCGCCTGGTGCCCGCTGAGGCCCCGAGCATGGCCCGGTCGCTGACCTGGAGCTGCTGCCCCTGGTGCCTGACGGAGGAGGAGAAGACGGCCGCGCGGATCGACCAGGAGATCAACAAGATCCTCCTGGAGCAGAAGAGGCAGGACCGCGGGGAGCTGAAGCTGCTGTTGCTGGGTGAGCGCGGCGGGGGGGGGGGGGGGAGGCCGGCAGGGGAGGCCGGCGAGGCCGGGGCGAGGCCTCGGCCGTCCCCGGCCAGACCGTGCCACAGCCCGGGCACCGCGCGCGAAAAGCCGAGCTCCCCTGCGGTCGGGCGGCAGCCCCGCGCCCAGGCTCGGCAGGGCGCAGGGCACCGGCGAGGCAGACCCACCACGCCCTGCCCGCCTGTGTCATGGCACGGGAATGAGGATGAGCCCAGGTGCACAACCCGCCCGGCCGGCCGCAGGGAGGGGCCGCCGGCCTCCTCCTCCACCTCCGAGGCCAGGCTCCCCTTGCTGCTCTGCGCCGCTGCCCTCGGAGGAGGGCTTGTCCAGGGGTGTCCTGGGCCAGGACCCAGGACCGCAGGACTAGCTGGCCGGCCATTCATTCATCCACCGGAGACTGATGTAGTGAGTCGGTGGCAGGAGGGAAGCAGGTCTGCCTGGCCATGGGTCGGCCAGCGAGGAGCACCCATTCATGGGGTAAACCCCGCGACAGAAACTTCCGGCAAGAAGGCTTGGTGCAAAACCAAACAGGGCGAGGAAGTACAAGCGCAGGCAGTTGGAGTTGATGGTGCCCAGGGTTTTAAGGCTCCAAGAGCCTGAACTCTGAAGCCTCAGGGCCCTTGTGTCTGCTCCCTGGACTGTCCCCTGCTCAGGGGCCACTGACCCCACTGCGAGGACCCAAGGTTTGGAGGGTCTCCTGGATCCCCGAGTCCTGGGCTGGGACTGGAGGTCAGGGCTTCTGAACCCATGTGTGGCTGTCCTGGGCAAAAAGGCTGGTCACCCACTGTGGGGGCCACGTTCTTCTCTGGCCCAGTGGGAAGAGGCAGCCCCGGGAGGGGAGAGAGGAACAGCGTGGGCAGGGCTGGGGTGGCACCTTCATAGGGAGTCCTTCCAACTCTGGCCTCCGCCCGCCATGAACTACCGCGGTTCTCCCTGTTCCGTCCTCGTGTGGCCCAGAATCCAGACCCATGCACCCCCCCACCCATGTGCACTCTGGTACTTTCCGGTGACCCTTTGGGGGCAGTGTCTGACTTCCTTGCTGGGAGCTGAGCATTTGCTTTTCTCCTTGATGTTTGGTAGCACGAAGGGTGAAACCACCTGAGCCTGCAAGGTCTCTGATTAAGGCTCTAATCACCGCTGGGCACGGTGGCACACCTGTAACCCCGAGTGCCTGGGCGGTGGGGCAGGAGGATCCCAAGTTTGAGGCCTGTCTCAGGATAAAATAAGAAGTGCCAATCCCCAGCTCTGCAAAAAAGTTCTTTCTTCAAGCGATACCTCTGTCTCTGTGACTCAGTGACTGTAATAGATGTCATCTCTGTGTGACGTCGTCAACCGGAGCTCTGACGTTCACCACAGAGGCACGTCCGTCTCATTATTCCTTGGGGCCTTGTGGGCATCGACTTATCCTTGAGGGAGCTCTGGCCCTTTGAGTCTTTCAGAGACTGTCCATTCCTCTGCGTCCTTGGTGTGTGGCGACGCGCCCTTCGTAACACCCCGGCGCTCCTGCTGCCTGTAGGATCCGTAGTGATGCCCCCTGCGCCCTCGGTGCTGGACAGTCTCTGCCCCTGCCCCCGGACCTGCAGGCAGGGGCTCCTGGGTTTCAGAGAGCTGTCTGCAGCGTCCCGGGCTCCACCGCCCGGCCGCCGCGCGCTCGGCCCCCTTCCCCCAGCGTCCACTCCCCGCAGGCCTCAGCCCACGCACCCTGCGAGAGGTCTCCCACCCTGGCCATGAGGGCCGCCGTCCTGTGGCCTCTCCTCTGACCCTCTTCCAGACTCGCCCTCCCTTGTGGGGGCCTCACCGCTCATCTCTCCAGTTACACGGTGGACACATGCGCAGACCACAGCTGCCCGCCCTGTGTAGGGTGAGCCCAGTGGGGCAGGGATGAATAGGGATGGTTCCTGACTCGGAGGATCTTCCCAGGGGTTGTGTGACGTCTTCCTGGAGCTGGGAAAGGCCCGTGGTGGCTCCAGCGCCGGGCGCTCAGCCAGCCACACACCAGGGAGCCCCTCTGCCGGCCCCCGCTGACTGGCTGCCCCCACCTGGGGGCTGCCTCCACACCCCCCTGAAAACAGGAATCGAATCTAAAAGTGACTGCTTTCTCCTGGAGATGACTGATCCTTTGAGGAAGTTGGCGAAGTGCTGGGTGGAGGTGAGACTGTCCCCAACCGTGGGGAGAGAGGAGCCGGCTGTCCGCAGGGCCGGGAGGCGGAGGCCAGCAGTCTGCCCTCCTCACTGCTCTGCTGTCCCTCAGGAGGAGGAGAGCCACAAACGCCAGTGACAGATAGGGACACTGAGGCCCAGCAGCAAGTCTGGGCCGGAGCCAGGCCGCGTGGCCCGCCTCCTGCCCCCTTTGGCTTCCCAGGCCAGAGAGATGCCCCGTGACTCCGGGGCTCGGCCCCCGCCGTGGCAGCTGCTCCCGCAGCCTGGCCCCTCAGAGTGTCCTAGGGCAGACCCCACCTCTGCCCAGGAGCAGACAACCCACGTCCCGGGCGTCAGGACGGTGACAGGCGGCAAAGACAGGGTCCCCTGGTGTTTTTCAGACTCTGGGCTACAATCCATCTGCGGGTCCCAGAGCCCACGTTGTGAGCCGCCAACAATTATCCTGGTCATCATCGTGATTTTTGCCTTTGATGAAACACGGGAGGTTGACGTCCACGGCGCAGCCCCAGCAGGGCCTGCTCCCGCGGGACAGCCGCTGGCGTGTGCCTCTGGGGACCCAAGGTGGAGGAGAGAGGTCGAAGCCTGTCCCCGGCTGCAGCTCCCGTGGGACTGCCTAGTGGCCCAGTGTGCATGGAAACGTCGTCACCCCACAGTGACACGCTGGCCCAGGGACCGGGTTTCCTCCCTGTCTCCTCGCTGTGTGGTCCTAGGCACGTCACCTGAGCTCTCTGATCCCCGTGTCTCCTTGAAGTGGAAAACAGAGGGAGTCTCTGAGGAATGAGGGGGACCCGGGGGTCTCAGCTGGGGCCTCACACCAGCTGCAGTGAGGACGAGGACAATGAATTGGGACAGGGCCAGGCGTAACCGAAGCGGGTTCAGTTAGAACCTTGTGTCCTGGGGCTGGGGCGTAGCTCACGGCGGGCGCCTGCCTGCCCTAGGGGCCCAGCTCGGCACTGACCTGGGGAGCTGGGCGGCCATCAGACCTAAGGCAGGCCCTGCCCAGCTGGGACTCAGTTTCCCCATGAGAAGAGGCCAAGCAGCAGCCTCTCCTGGCGAGGCTTGGGCAGGGGGGTGCGCACCTGAGCACCAGCCGCGGGCCAGGAGCCCACGGCCACCTCGGCCAGCCCCGGTCACTGCGGCTCCCAAGCCGAGGGCCGCGGGTCTCGGAGCCTCCTGGGGGTGCAGGCGTCTCCCCCACGGTTGGGCCTCCGTCCACTGCAGGAGCCCTCGGGGGTCTCACGCCCTAGCTGCGGGGAGTCCTGGCCTGAGACGCAGTGGCCCCCGTGGCCCCCGTGGCCCATGCTGGGAGGTCCCCAGAGCTTCAGAGGGGGACCTGCACTGTTGCCTGGGGGCCTTTGCCTGTTTTTAAGGTAATTTCTTTTTTTTACCTTATTTTGTCGCCGTAGACGGGAAGCCCTTACTGTCTGTGTTTCTGTGCGGAGCGGAGGGTCCGACCTGCTGGCCCGCGCCCTGCCCCAGGCCGCCCGGGGACCTCTTATTTGGCATGATTTTAGATGTGTAGAGAAGTCGTGGCCCCCAGGGTCCCGTCAGCCCCCTCCAGCCCCCTGTGGCACCTGGCAGACCCTCCTGTACTGGCCACAGGGGTGGGGCGGGGTCATGCGGCACGTCTGGTGTCCACTGGCTGGACTGCAGGCCTCCCCACGTCTCCCCACAAACCCTTCCCGTGCTCCGGGGGCCTCACCTGGCGCTCGGGCCCCCTTCTCTCCTAACTTTTTATTTTTTTTTTTTGAGAGAGAATTTTAATATTTATTTTTTAGTTTTCGGCGGACACAACATCTTTGTTTGTATGTGGTGCTGAGGATCGAACCCGGGCCGCACGCATGCCAGGCGAGCGCGCTACCGCTTGAGCCACGTCCCCAGCCCCTCTCCTAACTTTTTACTGAGAAATAACTTCATACCATGGAAGTTGCTCCTGGGTTCTTCTGTGCAGGGCCACGTGGCGCTCCATTTCCTGTACTCGCTGTCTCTGCACACGCTCACACACACGTGCACACACGCATACACACATGTGCACACATGCGCACGCGCAGTAACGAGGGGCGGGTGGAGCCTCCCTCCCCCCTTCCTTCCTCCGTGGTCTCGAGGGCCGTGGACTCTGGGCTCAGAGCATCCTCCTGCCCCTGCCCCCTGCGCCCCAGCGGGACGTCCCGCTGAGCGCATTGCTAGGTGGCTTCGGTGGGAGCACGTTCGCACAGACCAAGACGGTACAGGTCAGTCGCTCCACGTGGCCTCTCGAGGCCATCAAGACACGCTGTGCTCTAAAATAAGGATCCAGAGTGTAGTGTGGACAGCGGGCGGGGGCCATGCCGGTCATGCCGGACTCCCCACGACTCTGGAGGCTGAGGCAGGAGGATCTCAAGTTCCAGGCCAGCCTGGGAGACTTAGCAAGACCCTAAGCAACTTACTGAGACCCTGCCTCAAACTGAACTCGGGCTCGGGACGTGGGTTGGCAGCAGAGCAGCCTGCATTCAGTCCCCAGGACCAGAAAAGTCTCCTAAATTTAGGGCGTGAGTCAGCCACATGGCCGCCAGTCACCACTTCAAGTGCCATGTGCCACAGTGACCGCAAGCCACATGCCCTGCTTCCTCCCGACTGGCATTACCAGCATTTCTGTGACAGCGGGAAGGCACCCAGCTCTGTTGTCACCAGGCGATGGGACGTCAGCTCCATCCCGATGGCGCCGCTGACTGACCTGGGGGGCTCTGTAGGGGGACAGGCGGCCAGCCACGGGGAACTGCGTGTGTTCAGACCGCGTGCGAGTGCACACGGACACACTCACCACCCTCACTGCGTGTGAATTGCTCGATGGCGTCTGCCCTGGGCCCCACGAGTGGGAAGTCCTCTGGCCGAGCGGCCTGGTGGCCGAGTGGCCCTGGCATACACGGGCACAGTTGACTGGCACACGCCCGGTTTCCCTGAGCCGCCGGCTGACTCCTGTCCCCGCCGAGGCCTCTGGGGATCGAGAAGCAAGGAGCCAGCACAATGGCTGGGGTCGGCGATGGGCAGGGCCGCCCTCGGCCAGCCTGCGCCCTTTCCCACTCTGCCAGCCCCCAACTCCCCACGCACGTCCCTCACGGCGGGAGAGACGTTTTCTTGGACCTTGAGTCCAAGAGACTGGACACCAGGGAAGGCTCAGAGGCCAGGTGGCCGCCGCCCGCCCGCACAGATGCAGAGGGAGCTGCGGGCGCCTGGCGGGTGGCGGGTGGTGGTCCGCCGGCTCCTGGTTCCCCTTTCTGGCCCGGCCCGGCCACCCTTCCCTTTTCACTGCTGTCCCAGTTCCTCCCGAGTTAACTGCCTCCCTCCCGGGCCAGGCACAGGACTTGTCCCCACTCCCCGTCCCCAGGACGGCCCCGGCCAGCATCCCCCAGGGCCCAGCGACCAGCTCCTGCCCCGCCTCCCTCCAGGCTCAGAGGCTTTGCAGAGGGCCGTCTTGGCGTCAGCCTTGGACCCGGGGCTGGGCCGCGGCCTGGGTATTGGTGGCCCAGTGGAGTGCTCACAGGCCAGGGCCAGCTGTGCAGGCGCAGCCTGGCGGGCAGGGAGGGCCCGAGCTTCCTCCGAGCCACCCTCACGTTGTGCAGGAGGCTTTGCAAGGCCTGGGCCCTGCTCCTGTCTGCAGGCAAGGCCACCCAGCACGTCCCCCTCTCCCCAGCTGCACGGGGGCAGCTTGGAGCCCATCACTGCCCACCCGGACTAGCACGGTCACCTCCACCTGGTCTCTGGCTCCAGGCCCGCCCCACCCCCGGGATCTGTCCTCCCTGCAGAGGGTGCCTTTGAGCACCCGAACCAGGCCTCTCCCTCCTCTGCCCACAGCCCTCCGTGGCTCCCACCTCCGTCAGGGTCCAAGCCCAGGTCCTCCCGCAGCCCCGGACCCTGCCCAGCCTGCCCGTCCTCTTCCTCCCCGTGTCTCCCCCCTCCCCTGCTGCAGCCACACAGCTCCCTGCTGTGCCTCCAACCTGCCGGCCCCCTCCAACCCCAGGGCCTTTGCGTGGCTCTGCCTCTGCCCCGAAGGCTCTTCTTCCTGATCTTGGCACAAGAGGGACTTCCCTGGCCTCAGACCCCGACCTGCAAGTCACCTCTGCGAGAGGTCTTCCTGAACCCCCCGCAGTCCCCAGATCACTGTACCTCTGTGTCCTAGCCAGCAGTCATGATGCAAAGCAGTTGTGTGGCTCTTCTCGAGCCAGGACCAGGACCAGGGGTGACCTAGTCCTCCCCGTGGGAGGCCCCTGGCCCCTGCGGCTCCGTGCCAGGCCAACTCTGCTCCTGGCTGGGCTGCGGCTGCGTGCCTTCCCACACGGGAGAGAAAAAACCCACCGTGAGGCTGGACTGGGTCAGCGGTGCAGCCCTCGCCCAGCGCGCGGCCCTGGGTTCCAGCCTCCGCACACACAGAGATGGATCGGTAAAATAAGGGTGTTGTGTCCACTACGACTGAAAAACAAACGTCTTTTAAAACTCCATCACGAATGCGGGGATGCGATGTTCACGCGATTTCCACGCGACGTGAACTACTGTTCTGACTCAGTCTTTTTGAAATGCAAGAACCGCAACCCCAACAAGAATCGGAATTGGAGAAAACCACACTGAGGGCGTCAACTGGCCAGCCACGCGCAATAGGCAGTTGGCTGGACCTGCAGGCCGCAGGGTGCTGACCCCTGTGGGGAGACTGGACAGTGGATTCCTGCAGCCCCCACACCACTTCCCCGTGGGGAGGCCCAGGCTCAGCGTCACCAGCCCAGGGCACACAGCGAGGGTGTGGACAGGGTCCGGCTGGCTGCCCGGTGCCGTGTGGCAGGGGCTGAGCGCTGGTTCTGTGGGTGTCCCCAGGGCCTGGCGAGAGCGGCAAGAGCACCTTCATCAAGCAGATGCGCATCATCCACGGCAACGGCTACTCGGAGGAGGAGCGCAAGGGCTTCCGGCCGCTGGTCTACCAGAACATCTTTGTGTCCATGCAGGCCCTGATCGAGGCCATGGGCAGGCTGCAGATCCCCTTCAGCAGGCCCGAGAGCCAGGTGAGCCCCCGAGGCAGGGCGCACCCCCAGACCAGGTGGGGAGCCCACCAGACCCTGAGAGCCCTGGGCTGAGCTGGTGTCCCCATTTGTGTCACGAGACGTGTCTGAAATCTGAAAAGCTCTGAGCTTTGAATCCAGTCCGGTCCGAGGTGAGCAGTGGTGCCCTGGGGGGCTGGCAAGGGACCTTGGGGACTTAGGATTCCCGAAACCAGGCATGGAGCCACACGTGTCCCCCAGTGACTAGGAAGGAGGCCCAGGCAGGAGGACCGCAGGCTCCAGGCCAGCCTCAGCAACCCAGCAAGGCCCTGTCTCAGAGTCAGACAAAAGCCCCATCAAAGCACGAAAACGTCCACGATTTAGAAAAGCAAGACAGGGCTCCAGACAGAGGCTGAGCGTCACCAGGCAGATGCACGTGGGCCGCCGCCCGGGGGGAGCAGGGCGGGCAGCAGGCCTGTCCCCAGAGGCCCCTTCCCCAGTCCGTCTCCCCGGGTGGCCCGTGTCTGAACTTCTCAGTGGGGACCGGACGGTGGGCTCAGCTCTCGCGGGCTCACTTGTCCTCGCCTGCTGGGCTCGTGTCCACTGAGAGGCTTGGCTTTGTGGCCATGCCATTCGCTGGACGTCTGGGTCCTCTCAGGAGATATGGGGAGTCTGTCGCTCTGTTGGGTGGGTGGCTCGGGAAGCCGGTCCCCTGGGCAGGCTGGTCCCCCAGCCCTTTATTCCCTGGGAGAGTGACGAGGGGGGGGGTAACTCTGGCTCACCTGGGGCCCCCGTCCATGGTGTGTGGCCTGTGGCTCGGGGCCCGCCGTGGGCCCGGGCACCCATCTCGGGGCTGGGGACTGAACAAGAGGAAGGTGAAGGGGCTGGGGTCCCACTGTCCCCTTCTGGGGCAGTCCCAGTGACCTGGGACCCCACCTCCACATTTCCAGCACTTGCCCTGAGCCCAGCGGGGACCCCCTCCACTCCTGGGCCTCGGGGTGCAGGGGTCCTGCCGTGGCCGGAGCTCACTGCTGGCTGCGTCTCCTTGTGGCATGAGAAGTGGGCACTGCCCTGTGGCTTTGGACTCTGGGGACACAGGTCTTGCTGTGCTGCAGGCTGGCCTCGGCCTCCCGCGTGGCCGGCCCCCTCCGTCCCCCTCCTCTCCTGAGCCGCTGTGCCTTCTGCCCATGTTCTGCTTCACGCCCTCTTCAAAGCCCTTTCCTCCCTGACCTGTGACCCATCTGCGGGTCCTGGTCCCCCACCTGAGGGTCCCTTCCCACTGTTGTCACGGTGTCTGCAGGACAGAGCCTCCGTCCCAGTGAGTCCAGTGGCTCCGTCTCTTCTGACCAGTCCTGTCTGTGTGCGTCTGTGTCCACCCCGGTCCTGCGGGGAGACCCCGTTTCTGCCCATCTCTAGGCCCGGCTTCGCTGTCTGCCTGTGGCTCGACTTTCCACGGGGGTCGGTCGTGCAGCGCGTGAGGCAGGCGGCAATTTCCCTGTCCCTTCTGTCCTGTGGGCGTTCGGCTGTCACCATGTCGAGGACACCGTCCTTCCTTGACTGCTGTCAGCCCCGGTGCCGCGATGTGCTCAGGGCCGAGTCCCTGGTCTGTTCTCTGGCTCTGCTGACCTGCCCTTCAGTGAACACGCGTGTCCCCCGTGGCTTCCTGGGGGAGCTCTGAGACCCACGAAGGCCCCTCCCAGGACTGCTCTGTGGCTGGGCTGCTCCAGGACCGTCCTAACAGTGTATCTGCTCGCTCGCTCTTTCTCTCTCTCTCTCTCACACACACACGCACACACCACTACCTTTCTGGGACTCTGATCAGGACTGCATCAAATCCACAGATCAATCGATGGAGAGACAACAACCTGTAAATACCAGGCCTCCCAATCCATGAACATGGTACATCCTCTGTTTATCTAGGTCTTTTTTTTGGGGGGTGTCAGGGACTGAACCCAGGGGCCCTCACCACTGAGCCACACCCCAGCCCGTTTTTATGTTTTATTTAGGGTCAGGGCCTGGCTGAGTTGCTTAGGCTGAGGCTGGCTTTGAACTCCTGATCCTCCTGCCTCCGCCTCCTGAGCCACTGGGATCACAGGTGTGGCCACCGGGCCCAGCCTGAGCTTAGAACTTCTAAGACCCCCGTGTCTCTCTCCAGCACCACGCCAGCCTGGTCATGAGCCAGGATCCCTACAAGGTGACCACGTTCGAGCAGCGCTGTGCGGTGGCCGTGCAGTACTTGTGGCAGGACGCTGGCGTCCAGGCCTGCTATGAGCGCCGGCGTGAGTTCCACCTGCTGGACTCGGCAGTGTAGTGAGTCTGGGGTTGCGGGCCACGGGCGTGGGGGGGCTGGGGGCAGGGAGAGACAGAGGAGCAGCCCCCGTGGACCCAGGCCAGGGGCCGGTCCCCCCCATTGCTGGGCAGTGCAGGCCAGCGTGGATGGCTCCCCCCAACAGGGCGACATTCTCCCTGGGGTGGTCCTACTCCTGAGGTGACACTGCACACCCAGGGTGACGGGGCTGGGGAGCCTGTCCTCGCGTTTACACACCTCCTGGGGCTGAACAGCCAAGGGACAGGCTGCAACACGGGCCGCGGGCTCTTGTCCCACAGCTACCTGTCCCACCTGGAGCGCATCACCGAGGACGGCTACATCCCCACGGCGCAGGACGTACTGCGGAGCCGCATGCCCACCACTGGCATCAACGAGTACTGCTTCTCCGTGCAGAAAACCAAACTGCGGTCAGTGCCCAACTTGGTCCCTACCCCCAGCCTGGGGAAGGCTCTTGCAGAGGGGATAAGGAACTGGACCCCTGAGGAGTGAAGAGGAGCTTGGGGTCCCAGGCTCCAATGGGATGACTCCTCCAGCCCCTGTTTGGTCAGGACTGGCAACTGGAGGGGCCTGGGCGAGGCCCCAGGGCCCCAGGAGAGGTGTCCTGGAGGAGGGACATTGGTATTGGGGTACTGAAGGATGGATAGGAGTTTACTAGTCCCAACCCTCAAGGGGCTGCCAGGGAAAAGAAAACAGAGACCGTGTGGTCAGGGCTAGGCCAGAGGGATGACCTCCAGGCTTGGGGAGCTCGGGAGTCATCTCTGGTCAATATCAGGAGAAGACTAGAGGGTCAGGGTAAGGCTGGAGGCAGGAGACTCAGAAAGAGGCCGGAAGGGTTGGTGAGGCCGGGACAGTGGCTTGCACATGGGAATGACAGGAGGTCCAAGACTTGTTGCAGATGCAGGACAGGCAGGACTAGGCAGGTGTGGGAACTGGAACAGGAAGTAAGAACACTGCTTGGGAGCTCCTGTCACGATCACAGTGGAGCCAACAGGATGGGGGTGACGAGGTAAGACAATGAAGCCACAGGGGTTGAGTTTCAGGGACCTGGGGACACCTGGAAGTGGCTGGATGAAGGCCTGAGCTGAAGACAGAGTGAGGGGCCAGGGCAGGGCGTCATTGCTGGGGTCATCCAGCAATGGTGGCCAATGAAAGGGTCAAGGAGAGGAGCTCGAGTCTTCTGCTGTTTTGATCAGCCCAGGGTCAAGAGCAGAAGTGGTAATGTGGGTGAAAGGTTGGAAAGGTGCAAGGAGGTGGATGGTGGATGGGTGGTGGGGTGGTGGGTGGTGGGTGGATGGATGGTGGATGGTGGGTGGATGGTAGGTAGATGGATGGTGGATGGTGGGTGGTGGGTGGATGGATGGTGGATGGATGGTGGATGGTGGATGGATGGTGGATAATGGGTGGATGGATGGTAGATGGATGGTGGATGGTGGGTGGATGGATGGTGGATGGATGGTAAGTGGATGGTGGGTGGATGGTGAGTGGATGGATGGTGGATGGATGGTGGATGGTGGGTGGATGGTGGATGGTGGATGGTGGGTGGATGGTGAGTGGATGGTGGGTGGATGGTGGATGGTGGGTGGATGGTGGATGGTGGATGGATGGTGAGTGGATGGTGGGTGGATGGTGGATGGTGGGTGGATGGTGGATGGTGGATGGATGGTGGATGGTGGGTGGATGGTGGATGGATGGTGGATGGTGGGTGGATGGATGGTGGATGGTGGATGGATGGTGGATGGATGGTGAGTGGATGGATGGTGGGTGGATGGTGGATGGTGGATGGTGGATGGATGGTGGATGGTGGATGGATGGTGAGTGGATGGTGGGTGGATGGTGGATGGTGGGTGGATGGTGGATGGTGGATGGATGGTGAGTGGATGGTGGGTGGATGGTGGATGGTGGATGGATGGTGGATTGTGGGTGGATGGTGAGTGGATGGTGGGTGGATGGTGGATGGTGGATGGATGGTGGATGGTGGGTGGATGGTGAGTGGATGGATGGTGGATGGTGGATGGATGGTGGATGGTGGATGGTGGGTGGATGGTGGGTGGATGGTGAGTGAATGGTGGGTGGATGGTGGATGGATGGTGAGTGGATGGATGGTGGATGGTGGATGGATGGTGGATGGTGGGTGGATGGTGGATGGTGGGTGGGTGGTGGATGGTGGGTGGGTGGTGGATGGTGGGTGGGTAGATATTCAGCAGTGGGGGTTGGCGCTGTGCATATGGAAGACGGGTGTCAGTCAAGGAGATGTGGGATGCTCTCAGGCCATGGAGAGAGGTAATGAACAGAGTGAAGGCCCAGTGGGAAGGGACCCAGGAGGGGAGGGGACACTTTTAGTCATGCCGGGCAAGTTGCCGACCCCTGTTGGTCTGCAGAGCCCCGTGCCCAAGCACTGTCCCTTAATCCTGCTCTGGGATGGTGCATGAGGAACTCTGAAGAGTGTCAGGTGTCAAGTGACATAGTGCCCACTGCGGTCCACCTGCTGGGTGTCCAGCCTTGATGTCCCCTCTGGTCCGGGGGGGGGGCAGGTCCCTGCTCTCTCTCAGGCTTCTGGCTGGGCTTTGTGAAGCCTGCGCTTTGGCATTTCCTGAGTGACGGTTGCATCCCCCGGGAAATGACATGCAGATTGCTATCAGTGACCCACTTTTAGAGCAGAGGGAACAGGAAGAGGGGGAGGGGAGGGCTTTGTTGTGGTGTGCAGGGCCGGGGACGGACAGGACAGTTTGTCTGGGGATGTCCTCTGTTCCATCGAACCCTCACTGGACACCCCACGGCCAGCCTGAACTCAGTCTGTGAACCCATTCTATTGTCCTGGGGTCACGTGACCACCTCCCCCATGTCACCCAGCCAGAACCAGGTGGATCCAGGGCTCTCGCAGATGTGGGCAAAAGCAGTAGCCCCTGGCCATGGACACTGGGGACAGCCTGTCCCATCCCGAGCCTCCTTCCCTCCTCTAAAGCTGGTGGGAGGCGAGTCCCTGCCCAGGGGGCACGTGTGGCTCCCCAGGGGCGCGTCCACACTGGTGTGAATCCTGACTGGGCCGCGCCGAGGAGTGCCTGGTGCATGGGGCTGGGACGTTCCCAGCCAGGCCGAGCTCTGAAAGAGGCGCTGGGTCCCCGCAGGATCGTGGATGTCGGTGGCCAGAAGTCGGAGCGTAAGAAGTGGATTCACTGCTTCGAGAACGTGATGGCGCTCATCTACCTGGCCTCGCTGAGCGAGTACGACCAGTGCCTGGAGGAGAACAGCCAGGAGGTGGGCCACCGGGGACCTGCACACAGGGACCTGCACACATGGGGGACATGCACACGGGGAACTGCACACGGGGGACCCGAACACGGGGACCCGCACACCCTGGGACCTGCACACATGGGGGACATGCACACGGGGGACCTGCACACACAGGGGACCTGCACACGGGGGACCTGCACACATGGGGACCTGCACACGGGGACCTGCACACGGGGGACCTGCACACAGGGGGACCTGCACACGGGGACCTGCACACGGGGACCCGCACACCCTGGGACCTGCACACATGGGGGACATGCACATGGGGGACATGCACACGGGGGACATGCACACCTGGGGGACCTGCACATGGGGACCTGCACACAGAGGACCTGCAAATGGGGGACCTGCACTCGGGACCTGCACACGGGGGACCTGCACACTGGGGACCTGCACACGGGGACCTGCACACGGGGGAACTGCACACCCTGGGACCTGCACACATGGGGGACATGCACATGGGGGACATGCACACGGGGGACATGCACACCTGGGGGACCTGCACACAGGGGACCTGCACACAGAGGACCTGCAAATGGGGGACCTGCACTCGGGACCTGCACACTGGGGACCTGCACACGGGGACCTGCACACGGGGGACCTGCACACGGGGACCTGCACACGGGGGACCTGCACACGGGGGAACTGCACACGGGGGACCTGCACATGGGGGACCTGCACACGGAGACCTGCACACGGGGGACCTGCACACGGAGACCTGCACACATGGGGGACATGCACACGGGGAACTGCACACGGGGACCTGCACACGGGGGACCTGCACACGGAGACCTGCACACGGGGACCTGCACACATGGGGGACATGCACACGGGGACCTGCACACAGGGGACCTGCACACGGGGACCTGCACACACGGGGGACCTGCACACGGGGAACTGCACACACGGGGGACCTGCACACACGGGGACCTGCACACCTGGGGGACCTGCACACACGGGGGACCTGCACACGGGGACCTGCACACACGGGGGACCTGCACACACTGGGGACCTGCACACGGGGAACTGCACACACGGGGGACCTGCACACGGGGACCCGCACACCCTGGGACTGCACATGGGGGGCCTGCACACGGGGAACGCATACGGGGAACTGTACACAGGGGGACCTGCACACACGGGGGACATGCACACAGGGGACATGCACACGGGGGACCTGCACACAGAGGGACCTGCACACAGAGGGACCTGCACACCAGGGACCTGCACACACCGGGGACCTGCACACACGGGGGATCTGCACATGGGGACCTGCACACCTGGGGGACCCGCACACCCGGGGACCTGCAAACCCGGGGGACCTGCACCCGCAGCTCCCATGCCCGTGGGAGCACCTTGCTCTGGGTGGCCCTGTGCACGCCTGGCGCGGCTTCACCCTTCCCCCCCTGCCCTCTCGTGGCTGGACCTCTGCACCCCAACCTGACACTGCCTGAGGCACACGAGGAGGAGTGTCCTGCCCAAGGTGGCCACACCATGGGCTTGGGCACTGTGCCTAGGCACACCCTCAGCAAGTCACACTGAGACCCAGGGACCTGCAGACACGCACACTCACTGAGGGTCCGTGATCCCGGGCCTGGGACCTGCCAGGCTGGCGTCCCCATCCACAGGGACGGTGGTCTGCGGGGTGGCAGGGCCAGGGTGCTGCAGGAGTGTCTCCCTGACCGACAGCTCAGCAGGAGCCCTGGGTCACCTGGTCACCTGGAGGCCGTTGGCAGGGGCTCAGCTTTCACAGGAACAGCCTGGGAACCTGAGGGTCGGGCGCTAGGACTCCCACTTTCAGAATGAGACAGAGTGAGTTTTAGGGCACCTGGACAGCTGCCCCTCGGGTCCTGCCACGTGGGCTGTGCCAGGGTCCTGGGGTCTCTGAAGTAAAGCTGCCCAGATGGGGGGCGTCAAAGATGGCTTATTCCCCACCGTCTGGGAGCAGGACGTGGGGCCCAGGTGTGGCAGGGCTGGCTCCTGATGCTGTGCGGAGCCTGGGGAGCCCCCAGGTGGTGGCTGGCCAAGTACATCTCCAGTGTCACCCAGCGTCCTCCCCTGAGCACCAGTGACATGGGATCAGGACCCCCCACGACCTCATCTACAGGAATTCCCTGTAATGGCCCTATGAGGTGGACACAAGCTCAGGAGGACCCGGCTTGGCCTGGCACAGCCTCCACCAGGCCTCTCCGCCCCCCGGCCCCCTCCACGAGGGCCAGGGTGTCCGGGGGCCACGACCTGCCTTCGCTCCCTGCAGAACCGCATGAAGGAGAGCCTGGCGCTGTTCGGCACCATCCTGGAGCTGCCCTGGTTCCGGAGCACCTCGGTCATCCTCTTCCTCAACAAGACGGACATCCTGGAGGAGAAGATCCCCTCCTCCCACCTGGCCACCTACTTCCCCAGCTTCCGGGGTGAGTGATTCTCCACAGCAGCTCCCGAGAGGCCCGGCCAGGGCCCCCAGGGCGGCAACAGGATCCGACCGAGTCCTGACCAGCGCCGTCCACTGCCCGACCTCTCTGAGCTTACGTCGCCCCCTCTGCAGAGGGGTCAAGAGGACAGGCCCAGGCCAGAGGCAGTTGGCAGAAAGGAGTTCTAGAAGGCGCTGTGACGTCACCTACTTGTTATTTCCGTGGTGTGGGGTGGACCCAGGCCCTCTGCATGCTAGGCCCCGTGCGAGGCCCCCGGCCCGGGCGCCCCAGCTCTCGTGGGGCCTTGACTCGTGGCCGTGGCCTGCTTTCCACGGCCTGCCCGGACGTGCACGGCTGGCTAAGCAGGTTGGGGTGCAGCCCCGGGTCCAGCAGAGGGTTAGAGGTCAGGCCTGGCTGGAGAGGGGCACAGGCTGGCTCCCTCCCCGAGCACCACCACCAGGGTAGGGGGGCGGGAGCAGGTCCTACCTATCTAGTGACGAGGGCCCAACAGTCCCCAGGCCGCACGCTCGATCGGCCATTTCACTTGGCTCCTGAGTTCGTGGGTCAAGCTCTGGGGAGAGCTGAGCTGGGCTGGGTTTGTCCTGATCCACGAGGCACCGACCAGGGGTGTCTGGCGCCGAGGAACAGCTCAGGAAGGTTCTCCCCGCGGGCGCTGGGCCTGTCCTCACGGCCTCCCCTGTCCCCGCCATGCTGCACCTGGATCCAGCTCGTGGCTGCATGTGGCCGGGGCTCCCCCACACAATGGCTGAGGCAGGTTCACAGACGGCGCCCAGGCGTGGGCTGGCCGTCGAGACCAGGCTCAGACAGTCAGGATAGCCCTCGTCCCACTCTGTCACCCAGCACGTCACGCCAGTGAGCCCCGGGCTCAAAAGGAGGGGCCCCACGTACCCAGAGATGGAGGACCAATGGGTGGCCCTCTTGGAGACCAGCAAAGGCTGGGCGCCGTCACCCCGTCTGTCTGCCCAGCTGCTTGGGGAGCTGAGGCAGGGGGATGGCCAGCCTGGGCAACTTGGCGAGACCCTCTCAGTGTCAACAGGGATTACTTGCGGGCTGCAGCTCCGTCCCAACCAGCCAGCCTCAGGCCACAGAACCAGGGTTCCAGAGCTCAGTGGACCCTCCCCACGAGGCCTGGGGGCGGAGTCAGGGTGTGGCCTGCTGCCCTGCGGCCTCCCGGGGGGCGCCCCCCTCGCTGTTCCTCGCCCACAGACGCAGGCTCCATGGCTGTGCCCCTGTGGCATGGCCACCTCCTCACCACACCTGCATCTCCACTTGCCACAGGGCCACCAACCAGTGGCCTTAGGGTCACCCTCGTCAGCCTGACCCCATTTCATTTAAATAATGGCATCTGCAAATACTCTACTCCCCCAAAGTCCACAGTCTCAGGTCGACGAGGACGCAGAGTTTGAGGGACACTATCTCACCCCAAATCATAATGAGCCCCAGTAGATGAGGCTCGCAGGGCCTGCTTGGCAGCAGGTCAAAGGTCAACGAACATGACCTCTGGAGAGGTTGCCGGGGTTTGACCCCCGGCCTTGCTGCGTCGGAGCCCCGAGGCCAGTTCTGCCGGTCACACCCACAAGGTCGAGGGTCTGGGAGGCCGAGGCCAGGTTGAGGCCAGTGGCCTGGACGCTCTGCGCTCTTCCCAGCTGAGCCCGAGGGTCCATTTGGCCCAGGGAGTGTGGGAGCAGGGGAGGGGAGGGATGGTGTGAGGGACTTCTTCGGTGGCCAGAGCACGTCACCAGCTGCTGGCCCCTCACCATGGAGGACCGCCCGAGGGGAGCTCTCGGCTGGGCGCCCTTTGTCCTCATCTGGAAGCCCAGTGCAGGGGACCAGGACGGCGGCCACCTGCTGACAGCCGGAGTTGGTCAGCGGGAGGCGGGACTTGAACCCAGGACGTGAGGACCTGGAGCTGGAGCGCCAGCCACTCTGGCACCCAGGGAGGCGCGTCTGGAGTGCGGGGCCCTCTCCGTGACAGCCTCCTTGTCTCCGCCCCGCCAGGCCCTGACCGCCCAGCTGGCGGAGATCGGGGACTGACCTGTTGGCAGCTGGGTAGCCACAGCAGCACAGGGTGGGCCTTGGGCAGCCCGAGTCACGCTGTGCTTTACGCCCTGCGTCCCCAGCCCCGAGGTGCCCGTCCAGGGGTGGCCCAGGCTGACGGGGGTCCCTCCCTCCCTTGGCCTCAGCAGCTCCAGGATCCCGAACCCCCACCCCGAGTCCAGCCCAGAGTCCCAGGACCACGTCCCACCGCCCCCTCCCATCACGGCGTCCTTGTGAGCCTTCCCGCGGGCTCTCGTAGGCTGGGCCGGGTCACACGGCCGGCGATGCCCACAGAGGGGGCAAAGAGGGTCCTGATGCCCCCGCCTCCCTTCCCAGGCCCCCGGCAGGACGCGGAGGCGGCCAAGAGGTTCATCCTGGACATGTACACGGGCATGTACACCAGCTGTGTGGACGGCCCCGAGGGCAGCAAGCGAGGTCCCCGCTCCCGCCGCCTCTTCAGCCACTACACGTGCGCCACCGACACGCAGAACATCCGCAAGGTCTTCAAGGACGTGCGGGACTCGGTGCTGGCCCGCTACCTGGACGAGATCAACCTGCTGTGACCAGGCCCCCGGCAGGCGGCGGGCAGTGGAGATGGACCCCAAATGCCGATCACTCCAGCCCAAGGCCACTGCCACCTCTCTCCTCTGCCCCTCACCTGGTCAGCCGTCCCCCGCCGACCTCCTTGACTCCATTTACGCCCTTGGAAAGGGAGGAACAAAATGGCCTCTGGGGATGCCAGAGTGGGGGGAAGGTCAGGCCCTGGGTGGGAGGCTGCGTGGGAGGGCCTCACCCCCCGTGTCACTGGGTCACCCTGCCCTGGGAAAGGAGCTGTCCTTCGGGGTGGGCTCTGGCGCCCTCTGGTGGAAGCAGGAGGAATCCCCACCAATGGCGCTAACCCAGGACAGGTGGCCGGGCAGGGGCCTCTGGCGGCCACCACAGAGCCACCTTCCAGAGCCCCCAGGCCCACGGCGTCCTGCCCCGGTGTGCAGAGGAGGAACCCGAGGCCCCAGCGTCCCTCTCCTGCTCCCAACAGCCTCTGTATTTATTCCCCTGCCTTCCACCGGGCCCCCTTGTGGGGTAGACATTAAAGAAAGGACCCTGAGGTCCGGGCTTCCTGGGGGTGTGTCCACAGCCTCCTGCCCTCCCCATGCCCCCTTCAGCGACCCGCCCAGGTGCCATGGCGGCAGGGGTCTGGGAAACAGTACGGGAAGCCAGGGAGGGAAGTCCCACCCCACCCACAGCCTGCACCCAGCCCCGTGCCACCCAGCCAGCCCCCACACGGTCCCCAGGAGCCCTGGAGGGTGGCTGAGCTGGCCTACCTGGTGGCCCTGGCCTTCTGGCACCTGACGCACGTTTTACGACTTTGGTTTAGATTCACAGAGACGTTTGTGATGTGGCACGCGGGGACATGGCCATCGCAGCGCCCAGGCCCACGTGGCTTCCCCAGGACAGCCTCACCTGGGGCAGTGGCTTGGCCACCCTGGTGGGCCAGCCTCCGTGTCCACAGAGGCCAGATTCCTTCAGGACCCCGGCTGGTCCCAGACCCAGGACCTGGTCCACCCCACGTGGCCTCAGGTCTCTGGCTTCTCTAGCTGGTGCCAGACGCCCCTCGATTTTGGGGTGACTGGTCTGAGGGGGCTGGCAGGTGCTGGGGCTCAGAACACGCATGGCTCTTAGTCTGGAGGCCAGAGAACGGGCTCAGGGACCAAGGGCCAGCTTCGGCCCCTCCGAAGGCGCAACAGAGACAGAGGGAGGCCCTCCCTGCCCGTCCAGCCCCTGGGTCACCTGGCGCGTGGCCGCAGTGCCCGGCCCGCCTCCTCCTCCGTGGCTTCTCCTCCTGCAAGTGTCTGTCCGGGTTCTCTGTCTGGTCTCAGGGCCTTGACCTCCACTGAGCCACCACTGCCCCCTGCCCCAGCGCTGTCCCAGGCGCCCCACGGAGCCCTCCCCAGCCCTTCTTATGTTGATTTTGAGACCGGGCCTCACTAAGTTGCCCAGACTGGTCAGGAGCTTGGGATCCTCCTGCCTCAGCCTCCCACGTGGCTGGGATTCGAGTTGTAAGCCTCCAGGCCCGGCCTCTTCCTCTTCTAAGCACCCTCCTCACCTGGGCCCGGGGTCCACCCGAATGGCCTTGTCTTAGCTGATTCCATCTGTAAAGACCCTATTCAGCTGGGCACAGTGGCCACACCTGTCATCCCAGCAACCGGGGAGGCTGAGGCAGGAGGATCACAAGTTCAAGGCCAGCCTAGGCAACGTGGCAAGGCCCCATCTCAAAATATAAAAATAAGCAGGACTGGGGTGGGCTCAGGGGGTCCCCAGGTCAGTCCTCGGCACCCCACAGAAGGCACCAGACGGGAGGTCAGTCTCAGGTGCTGCCAGATGTTTTGTGGGAAGCCCTTTGCTGGGTCAGTGCCAGGGTCAGTTGGGGCTCGGGAACTTGGTGGAGGAGCTGAGAGGTCATCAAGATACCATCGAGGCACAAGCCGCCAAGTGACTGGCACAGCGCGTTCCCTCCGCTCATCGGCAGGCGATGGCACGGATCCCGGGTCAGGCCCGCAGGTCACCTGTGAGCCAAACCCAGCCCGAGCCTGCTCTGGGGCACCAGGCCACGCCTGCCTGGACACCACCGGGCCTTACCCGCAGCGCCGTGTCCCGGGAGCCACCACCGAGGGTAGAAGGCTTTGGGGGAAAAAGTTCCAGAAAGTGCTGTGTCTGGGGCTCAGGGTGGAGACTCACCTGGCACTCGTGAGCCGGGCTCGAGTCTCAGCACCACGTGACACTAAAGTAGAGGTATTGGGTCCTCCTACAGCTAAACACATATTTTTAAAACATTCCAGAAAGTTCCAAAACACAACACGGTTTTGCCGTGTGCCCAGCTGGTGGCCCAAGTGGGCAGCCCGGCTGCGGGCACCTCTGCCATCCAGACCCTCTCCAGCGCCCTCTCCTGCGTGGCCAGGGCTGAGGTGTGCACCCGCCAGGGGCTTTCCCAGTCACCGTCCCCCAACAACACGGACGCTCCGTGCCAGCCCCGAGCCGTGCACCGCAAGTCGTCAGGACGTCCGGAGTCCACGGAGGTAAATGCTGCTCCAGAGAGCATCCCCGCCGTGGACGCTCTGTGGTGTCCACTGCACCAGCAGATTGAGTCGGGGGTGGACATGGTCCAGCTGGACGGTCGTGGCCTTCACAGGCGCTGACCTGGGCGCGGTGACCGCGGGCCGTCTCCCTCTCCCCCTCTCACAGCAGGTGCGCTCTGTGCCGACGTTTTTACAAATAGGTTGCGAGTGAGTCAAAGCCACCGTGGGCTTTTGTCCCAACACCATGCGTCTCCCAAGAGCAGAGGCGTCCCTTACCCAGCGCCACGCCTGGCGGGTCACAAGGAATGCCCTTTGACACGTACACACCAACGCACCGCCGTGCCCACCTGACTCCGAGGCACCTCTGATTTCTATCATGGGGAAGCTCGGCGTGGAATTACCATCTTACCCATGTCCCAGTGGGCAGCTTGGTGGCCCGGGGCAGTCAGGGGCTGAGCAGCGTCCCCATCTCCCTCTCCAGAACTTTCCATCTCCCCAAACTAAAGCTGTGCCCATTGGCCCTGACCCGGGGCACCAGCCCTGGCTCCATGGTGCTGTTTCCTGCCTCCGCGGCTCTGAGCCTCCAGGGCCCCCCAGGTGACCCCCCAGGATGTCCTTCTGTGTCCAGTTCTCAGTTCTCACTGTCCGAGGTTCCACCTGCCGCAGGTGCTGGGAGCCCTTCTCCCTGGCTGGGGACGCTCCCGTGTGTCCAGTCTTGTCCCACTCCCTCCCCAGCCTCAGGACACGGGTCCTGCCCACTGGGCAGCCCAGCTGCCTGCTGCCAGGCCAGCCCCACACGTCCCCGTGTCTCTGCCAAGGAACGCTCTCATTCTCTGGGGCTGTCCCTGGTGGAGATGCTGGGGCCAGGAGACCATCATCCACCTGTGAGGCTTGAGTTGTCCCAGGCTGGGCACTGCCGCCCCTTCTGGCCACCCAGGGTCCCCAGGCTCCCGACTCCATGGCCCCCAGAGGTCCCACTCGCCATCTGGCTCCTGCATGAGCAGGTCCCGGGAGCCCTGCGTCCCGCTTAGGGTCAGGGCAGGAGGCACTTAGGAGCCAGAGCTGGTGCTCAGGGCTCTCGGTGCCCTCAGCAAAGGGAGTGGGACTCGGGGGTCTCTGTTGGCCTCCTGTGGTGCTGGGGGTGGAACCCCAGGTCGCGTACAAGCTGGGCCAGTGCTGACCACTGAGCTACCACCCAGCCTGAACCCCGAGTCACAGGGACCCGCAGGATTGGTCACCTGCCTCGGGGTCCTTCCTGGTCCACCGGTGCCCCATCCCCCTGCTGTCCCTTGGGAGACGCTGGTCCCCGGCGAGGTCAGTGCACTAGGTCCTCCCTCCACCCCAAGCACAGTGCCCCTGCCCACGCACAGCCCTGAGCGGGCTCCGTCCTCCGACAGTGCGTCCTGTCCTGGGAGTGACCCGGGGACACGGCTCTGCTCCTGGAGACCTTCCCGCTTCTTCTGGTGACCCACTGGGGCAGCAGCCGAGCTCCCGGCTTCTCGCGGTCGCTGTCCGACGTTTGTTCGTCCACGGGTGGCGGGGGGGTGGTGGGGCAGCGGGGGCTCCCCAGCCAGGCGCGCGCCACCCAGCTGCACCCGGTGGGCAGCTTGAGGTCCGAGGGCCCCTGGAGGAGGCTGGGTGTCGTCCGTCCTTGGGGCCCATCTGGAGGGGTCACCCCCAATCCCACAGGCCCAGCACAGGGGAAGCCCTTTCCCTGGGGGCAGGCGCTCTGCAGCTGAAGGTCCTGCCTGGGGACGGCCACACCCTGGGGACTGCGCCTGGGTTTGGGCCCCGCTGGAGCCAGGCTGTCACAGGAGGGGCTCAGCCAGAACCGGGGTTCAGCTTGGGGTCAGGCCTCGACAGGATCGGGGCAGGGTTGGGGTACGCTTGAGGTCATGGGCCCCGCCTGGCTACCCTGGGATCAGGGCTCAGTAGAGAATCAGGGACCCCGGCAGGTGGCTCAGGGATGGCGGGGGAGGGGTGGGGGAGGGGTGTGGTGGGGGGTGGGGGTGGACTCCGCTCAAGGCCGGGGCTGGGCTGGCATCAGGATCAGAACCAGGCCTGCACTCAGCTGCCTGGGCTCAGCCAGGACCAGGCTCTGGACGGGGAGCCGGGCTCAGGGCTCAGCTTGGGTTGGGGGCCACCTAGGATGGGCTCCGTCCAGGGCGGGGCGGGGCAGTCAGAGCTGGCCCCAGGACTCGGTGACTGTCCTGAGGGGGCCTGGAGCTGGCTGCCAGCGCACAGCGCGGGGTGGCGCCTGGGCCTCTGCCTCTGCTGTCTCCTCCGACCTCCTCCCCCTCACCTCCTGCTACCTCTGCTCGGTCACCTCAGGGACAAGAGCTGGCCCCTCCCAGGCCAGCGCAGCTTCCCGCAGCCACCCGCCCAGAGCTGGCGGTAAGTGGGGGCTGGGGTGCCAGGCGGCTCCCTGCTCCTCTCTGCCTTCCTGGGGCACTTGGCTTCTTGGGTGGGCACCTGGCCCCTCAAGGTCACCTGGGCCTCTTCATGAACGACCTGGCCCCTCGTGGGGCTCCTGGCTGGCAGAGCTGGTGTGGCCACCCCTGCCCGCGGCCAAGGGCTCCCTTCTCAGGAAGGCTGATGACTACATGGCCCAGGGTGGGAGGGACAGTGGGTCTTCCGTGGCCCTCCTCCGTGGCCAGTGGGGCTGGTGAGGGGCCTGGTGAGCTGTCCCTGAGGTCCCTCCCCTGAGCCAGGCTGCCTTTGGGAGCCCCAGCCGTGGCCCAGCCCCCTCAATGGACACAGCAGGTGAGCCAGGTGAGCCCTGAGGAGAGGGGCTTCCGTGGGCAGCTTGTGGCAAGCGCTTATTAAGCCCCTGCTGTGTGCAGGCCTGGCTGCAGCAGCGGCTGGGGAGCCGGTGGGTGCTCCTGGGGACAGGCAGGGAGGGGTGGCGAGTGCCAGGTGGCCCCCTCCCCTTCTGCTTTCGAGGACCAGCGGGGGCAGGCGGGGCAGTGGGGTGTCCCTGCAGAGGGCCTCCCCAGAGTCCGGGCAGAGCCAGCCAGCCGTTGGGATGCCCCTCCCTGCCCTGGGC